ACACACACACACACACACACACACACACACACACACACACACACACACACACACTCTGGGGTAAAATAACCAAAAGTCATTGAGAGAGTTGCCCGCTGTTATCCTGCAGTCAACTCAGGGTAGTCCCTACAGGGAAATCAAGCCTTCACCCTGGACCCAGTACCAGCTTCATGGGTATGTGACCTGTGCTACTCCATGTAAGTGCAACCCTTCAGAGAACAACCGCCACACACATGCACTAAAATGATGCCTAGTGGTGTCATCTTGAAATTCTTAGTTTTGAAGGAGATGCCTTATATTTTCATCAGTTGGGAAAATGATAGGACTTCCCACCTATTCAGATCCTCTGAAACAAGATGTTATTGGAATGAGAGACTTACATAGCACTTATCATACATTTATTTGCTCATTGACTCTTCATACTGTATTATCATCATCCCCATTATACAGACAAGGAAGTTAAGGCAGAAAGAAGTTAAGTACCTTGTCACTTAGGTCACTTAGCTGGGAAAGCCAGGGTTTGAACCCAAGTATGTGCACTGAGGTACCTGACCATTTAGGCTATGCTGTGTCTTGCTTCATTGTGTGGCCTTTCCATCAGAGAAGCTCACTTTGTTTTGTTTGTTAAGATAGTGTTCGGGAAGTGCATCAGGGTCTTTCACCTTAAAAACTACTGCTTAATAACCTAAAGGTTTCCAAGATGATACCCTCTGAGAAACTGCAAATCTCCACAGCAAAATGGCCCTGGTCATGTTGTCAGACACTTGTTCATGTTAAATCAATAAGATAGCTATCAACTTGGAGTAAAATATTGCCAGTGGACTGTGGGAGCCCATTCTCGGGTTCCTCATGGCTTTACCCAGCAGGTCCTTGTAGCTAGAGTTTTCCGCCTTGCCCACAGTCAGGACAAATCTTTGTCACCCACCAGTCCCACAGCCGCTCAGACCCAACCAAGTAAACACAGAGACTTATATTGCTTACAAACTGTATGGCCGTGGCAGGCTTCTTGCTAACTGTGCTTATAGCTTAAATTAGTCCATTTCCATAAATCTATACCTTGCCACGTGGCTGGTGGCTTACTGGCGACTTCACATACTGCTGGTCATGGCGGCGGCTGCAGTCTCTCTTTCTGCCTTCCTGTCCTTTTATTTCTCCTCTCTGTTAGTCCCGCCTATCCTTCCTGCCTAGCCACAGCCGATCAGGTTTTATTTATTGATCAATCAGAACAACTTGACATACAGACCATCCCCCAGCACAGCCAAGTGCAGACCATCTCAGACACCTGCACTCAGGCCCATGGTCCTAATCATCCTCTATGTGGACCTGCTGGGTAACGCCACAAAGAACCCAAGAAGGGCTCCCACAGGACATACAGAACATCCCACAGCAGGTCCTCATAGAGGATGATGAGGACCACGAGCCTGAGTGCAGGTGTCTGAGATGGTCTGCACTTGGCTGTGCTGGGGGAGGAGGTCTTTTGCTCCACCCCTTAGTGTCTCTATAAAAACCCTGGGGCAGAGACAGTTGGGGCCCATTGGAATAGGTTCTAGGCCCTCTCGAGGCTATCCTTTATTTTCTATTTATCTCCGCAAGATTCTCTGCAATAAATCTTTCTATCTAATATTTCCTGCTGCTCAGACTCAAGAAAACTCTGGGAACTGTGGGGGTGGTGGGTAAACACCCCACAGTGGACTTGTGCCCCCAGCTCAAACATGATTGCAGAGAGCCTGGTCTCTCCAGACTCCTTCTGCATTAGGAAGAGAGGAGAGAAGAGTGGTGCTGAGGGAGATAGCATTGGCCTTGACACTTCCCTCCATCATCCCTCTGCCTTCCCAGCTCAGAAACTTCCACACATTCTTCCTAAAATGACAAAGGGCAGCATACATGAGTAAACGCCACCATAGTTGCCACTCGACTTAAAAGAAGAAAAAGTTCAACAATTCATGTATCTGAACATGAGAGGTTGGAGCTGATAAAGTGTGATTCAGTACTAGACTCTAGGAATTGGACAAGAAAAGAAATAAATAATGTTCTTTCAGGGTTCAGTGTCACAGATGGAGGGAACAGGGGTCCCTAAAAAGCCCACCATACCAGCATCCTTCAAATTTGATAATACTACCCAAAATATCTGGATAAAGTACTTACAGTTCTTGTCTTAGTTTGGATGTTTTTTATTGCTGTGTAGAGACACCATGACCATAGCAAGTCTTATAAAGAAAACATTTAATTGGGCAGGCTTGCTTACAGTTTCAGGGGTTCAGTCCATTGTCATCATGATGGGGAGTGTGCAGACATGGTGCTGGAGCTGAGCTGCATCTTTCAGGCAACAGGAAGTTGACTGACAGTCACACTGAGGGAAGCTTGAGCAAAAGAGACCTCA